CCAAAGGAGAAAAGGTCTCAGAAAAGCAATTTGTATTTTAATGATTGAGATCCAAAATCTGAGGGGTTGATTTGAGAAAAGAAAGGAATCATGATCGCTTGGTATTAAAAAGCAAATTCAAAACTTAGGACAGATTCATTATTAAAGATGATGATCGAAAGATTTTTACCGGTGCCAAGTTTGTTCAACTTACACAATTATAAAGCTCACGCACGCTTACCGATCGACATATGTTTTAATTAGATTATGGAAAAATGATTAAATATGCACGTATTTTTTGAAATATCTAAATTGAAAATACATCGTCGTCTCCATCGGCAAATTTAAGGTATAAGAGGAAGAACTCAAACGAACTGTTCTATGTCACGAACCAAAACCCGAAACATGGTACATCTGATTCTTGTCACGCGTGCATGTCGCGAGCAAACGTAATGCGATGTTGTGAAACTGTCCTCGACAAAAGAAGAGAAGTAAGATCTAAGTGCTTTGGATACACCACGATGTATGATCAACGGATGTGTTCATTTGTTCTACGAGTGCTGATGCAACCCAATACCGGAAACTCATTGGAAAAAAAATGCCATCCTGTGACTGAACAGTGGAACCGCACTAACTCGAACCACCGTGAACTCGTAGATCTGATTTCCGTTGACCCATTTTTTTTCCATTCATTTACTATCAGGGGATCAATATCAGTATCTGGGCAACTGCCCACCTACCCCTCCCCTAACCCAACAACAGTCAATTGATAGCAAGTTAGAGTTACTGTTGGGTTAGGGGAGGGGTAGGTGGACAGTTGCCAGAGATTCCAACCCCATGTGATGGAAAATAGAGAGTAATTATTAGTGCCAAAAGCGCGAGCTTCTAGGGGGGTCAGGGGGCATGCCCCCGGGAAATTTTGCAAATTTAGGTTCTCTCAAGTGCCATTTCCTGAATTTTGACATCATTCCGGCCTGAGTTATAACATACCATAATGCTCTTCGCGAAGAAAGTAAGTATAATATGAGTGTTTCACAGTGACAGATCGCCAAAAATTCTAAAGATTAGCAATTTTCCCCTAGTTTTCAGAATTTTATGATAAATCGGGAGAATTTGGTAAAAATCGGGAGAGCGGGAGGCAAGACATCAAATCGGGAGACTCCCGATCAAATCGGGAGGGTTGGAATCTCTGAGTTGCCCAAATACTGATATTGATCCTATCAGCTCACTAGAACCCCCGCCAACTCGAACCATATATGACTCCCTTGGGTATTCGAGTTGGTGAATTTGCCTCCAATACCATTTGACCTTTAATCCTTGATTAGAAACTTGGTGTTAATTCCAGGTAATAGTATTTCTTAATCTCAAAAACTTTTCCAATTAAAACATCGATTAGGAAAAATTTTCATGTTTTTCATGTTTGATTCAAGGTGAGATAGGTCCCTGCCATATGGGTACAAAGAGAAACAGGGCGACCCAAATGCTGACAAGGCAATTTTTTAAAAGTATTATCAGGTACTGTACCATCATTTTCACTGCCAGTCAAAATACAGAAGCTCCAACATCACCTTGCCCAACATTCAGCAACAAGTTCCTCTTACGTGGAGTGAAGTTTACGTTTCAATTTGTCGTTAACCTAAATGCATTTAAATCGTAAGTGTTCTAGGGAAAAGTTACATATTCATTACAAATGGGAAGTAAAGTTTTAACTTCTACTTCATTACCTGAAATAGCAGTTTCATTAATTGTCTCGACCCTTAAAAAAAAGCATCCACAACTCGCAAAAGGATTCTGGGTTGTTAAGTAGGGAAGGGAGAGCAGGAAAGTTAAAAAAACAGCAGTCAAGGTATAAATTTGATCCTCTTCTATTTTGGGCAAAAACTTTATTTGTAACTGGTTGCATGCGAGGACACCCGAGGGATCTTCCATCTAACACGGTACATTTCACAGCACACAAAGGAAAGCTAGGTAAATGAGAGGACTACCAGCAGTTCTCTTTCTCCAGGTAATCCGCCATGCCAGCCAAAAGAAATAAAACAACAAGACTGTGACAAAACAAACTCCTTAAGTGAAGCAAAGAAATTTTTCCATCAATGTCAATTAACTAAATTAATAAAGATTGCTTGAGGTCTAGATGGATGGATCTTATTATTGATCATATCAACAGTTATTTTCACACAATCTCAAGACAAACAAAGCTTCAAAATATTATGAAAGCATCTTTATACAGATTCTAACATTACGTTTGTAGTTATTTCTTCTTTTGATAATCACTGCCAGTCAAAAAAAGTTACCTGAAGACAAAAAAAGTGCATACAGTGTAGCATCAAATTCAAACTTAAGAAAAAAAAATTTTCAAATAGATTGTATTCCTACATTAAAAAAAAAAAAAACTAATTTCTACATCTTGACATGTGCCCAATAGCTGTTATTCCCAATCTTTTTTAATATCAAATCCCCATTCCCACTCAAGGTAACAGTTCTTGTCATCATCAATAAACTTGCTCTTTGATGTGTAATGGCCTCGAGCTAACATTCCCTTGGGTGCTTCATCACATGGGGTTAAGTATTCATGAGGATCTGCTTTCGGACCATAACTTCCTACCATCAAGCTACTTTTGTCAACTGAAACACAAAGGGGAAAGCAAAAGAATGTTCACAATTGGATGATCAGTAAACAATAACAAAATGCCAATAAATATCTCTTTAATGTGGCATAAGTTCAGGCGTGAAATTGTGCCTAATACAGGCGCCAATGCACCTAAATTTTTCACTTTGGCAACCAAATCCTGAAAATTAGTCACCAAATTGGTGACTAGAATACTTCATCATAACCTTACCTAGAGATATAGTGAATTAAAAAGATTTGCAAAGATAAATTCGCAGCAAACTTCCACGTTGAGTTTGTTTCCAAAATACAGCACATGTATCTCGATCAATGACTAGACACCATCTTGGATTTTGGTGAGCCTGAACTTTGTATATAATCTATTCTAGTGTCCACTTTGTAGCATGTTAAATTAAAGACCTTTTTCCTAACTTAATTTTTGAGGGTCTATCTAGAATGCTGACCATATAAAAAAGTTTTGTTTGTCTTCAAAAATGGTGACCACCTTTTTTTTAACTGGCTACCACTTTGAAAAATTTAGGAGCCAAGTGGCTATCAGAAAAAAAAAAATTAATTTCATGTCCTGAAATTAGTAATAAATTAAGTTATTTCCTCATAAATCTTAATCTACCATAATGTTGACCTACACTTACCTCTAATACCTTTCCTGTAGGTCACTTGATGAAATCTAAGACCAGCCACAATTTCACGTACCACCTGGAAATTTTTTTAAAAAAAACAATGATTTGTAACTAAGATCTTACAATGGGCACGAGTTATATTGAAAAAAGTGATTCATCCAACCACATGGAATGCATCAGCAATAACACACACTTCTACAGACTAGAATGATCAACTAATCCTGGGGTTTTTCCAATAAATAAAACCTGTGGAATTCACTGCTGCATATCTTTAATTTCACTCACTAAAAAAAAAAAAGAAAAAAAGAAAGAAACTTGGATTGCAAAAGATGCATTTTTTGTTTCAAAGCAGGTTTGTTTGCAATTATAAGCAGAAGAAACTCAGAAAACATCTAAAGTGCAAATACTTTGCAACTGTGAATCAAAAACTGATGTACAAATAGAAAACAAGAGAATCTGGTTTGATCAGGCAAAGGAAGGTGAGGATCATAGCATCAAAATTTGAGAACATTCAAGAGCATGTGCATTGACGCAGACAGGATATTGTATAATATTGTTTTAGTAGACTGCCTGTTGAAAGTGTTATGTATTATGTGATTTTGGATGGTTACCATCATTCTGGATCTTTCTGTGACTTTTTGGGAGTTTCCAAGAACATGCTGACTCAAATTTCAGTAGCCTTTAACCATATGTCCTTTCAGAGGACTCTTGTGTGAAACTAAGGCAGCAGGTTAACATGTCAGCTCATGGAAGATTTTGATTAGAAATAAAATGACAAGTTAAACAACTGTTATGAAGGAGACTAATATTTAATGAACATTTGCCAAAGTTAAACAGCGTAGACTCCATTTGAAGCCAGTTTGTTCTGAAGGGAACTTATTCTCCTGTAAGTGCCCTACTGAGGTAGCCACCTACAGAGTGTACTTCAAATCTTATTGAAAGCAGTGCAAGTCACATACAAAAGTTCACGAGGATGCTACCACTCCATTCCTATTTTGAAATCCCAAGTGAAAGCCCCCTGAAAATTCTTGATCCAGTTTAATCAAAAGCTATTTTAAAACTAGATGCTGTGACATTCATTTTCAGGATGCTAGCTGCAGCATGAATATTTTTATTGATGAAATTAAGTAAGAGATCATTAAGCATGTATTTCAATATAAAGGTGTAGTTATCATCGAGTCCTTGTTTACAGTATTGTTAACATTTAAGCTTTTAAGCATTTTCCAGCTTTCTTATCTCTAAGCTATCTGTCAAGCCTAACATCAGTATACATGTTCTCCATAGTAACTCCAATCATCTCCTTAGGTGCTGACAAGTAGAATTCAATTAAAATCAAGAGCTTGTCAAGTTTCAGATCCTTTCTTTAATTCTCAAGAGCCTGATGTTTGATTTAGCTGGAATATCTTATTAAGAAATTTGATGCCGATCACCCTCAGGAGTTAAAGGGTTAACCCTTTCACTCCCACAAGTGACCAAGACAGAATTTCTCCTTACAATATCAATACAATATCAAGCAGGCAGGTGATGAGAATAGAGAAGAATATCAATTATGGGATTATTAGTTGATGCGATACCAAATTCTCCAAACTAACATCATAAGAATGGTATGGCAGATAGTAAGGAGAATTACTTATTAGATCTTGGGAGTGAAAGGGTTAAAAGACATTAGCTTTGGAGGAGGACCATATTAAAAGTGCTTCAGCACAAGCCTTTCTTCAAAGTGTGAGGCCTTGACCAATGCAAGCTAGAGAGAGGTCTGCAGAGAGGGGGCACTGAAGAGGATGACCTGCAAGGATGATATTGTTTTCCAAATCTAGCCCCTAGAAAGGAGTCAGTATTTTGGAAACTTGACCATTAGCCAATTGAATTTGACAATAGTATAATCAATAAGGCAGAAAATCTCATGTAGCAAGGATTTTTATCCAAGAGATTAATATAAATTGAGTGATAACACCAAAAGAGAGCTGCAAAAAAACCCTGCTAGTTGTGCCTAGCTAGTGAGTGATCTTTCAACTCAGGATATGGATCTGTAAGTTTAAGTATGGCTGTAACACAAGCATTTCTTTGCTTGCAAGGTCTGAGTCCTTGAGTTAATTGAACCTTTTACCTGCCCCAATCTCAACAGTGTGGGATTCCTGGGCCATAATTAACTCCAATGTGTTATTCATTTTCTACCCTCAGTTTTTCCGATTTCTCTGATTTAAGCTAATGCAAAAAAATCCCCTGCATTGTGCTAATTATAACATTTTCCTCTATTTGACATCTTAAAGTCCAGTAGAGTACTCCCTTTCTAGCATGAATTTCACATTAACATTTCCTTTGTCTTTGTGTAAAAGATAACAGAGACAACGCGGAAATAAAAACTTGTAGAATTTCCTTATTACATGACATTCTGCAGTCAGAAAATTGCACATAACTTTCAGTCTAGACAATAGTAACTCTAAAAACATGGATGACACAAAAACAATGATTCAAAGATAAATCTATCTGAGTAAATTGTTGACATCAAAAGGATCATTACTAAACAAAAGTCTGCTTTTCAAATAGGGTGAAGAATAATTAACTTTCAAAATTGACACTCACAATGATTTCTCCTGATGAGCTCATGTCGAGTACAATTAAGCTCGTAAATTTACGAATCTCTATCACCACAAAACGCAGACTGAGCGCAAAAGAAGAAGGAAATGGCAAAATCACAACTGATTGAAAAGGCATACTTGAACACTCTTTAATTAATACAAGACTGAAACTGCAATTACTTAAATGTAACAAGTACGATATTACAGCACGGTTCTGCCATTTTAGTACAATGTCAACACTAATATGCAGGAATTTACCTTGAATGTTATTTTGATTTTGTAACTGGCCCCTTCTTTGATGACTATTGGTTTTTCTCTAAGTTTGCTCAGGTCTCCTGCAAAACCAAAGGTGAACACAACAGAGACTTAAGCTGGTCGGATCGCTCGAAATTAGAAGCTTCCTCTTCATGATAGTTACTTCACCGTAGTTCTGATCAGCTGGTAAATTTTGTCACGCACAATGCGCTACATTAGGGCCACAAAAGGTCGGAAGAACAGACGTTATGAATAAGAATACACCATTCCAAAGCAGAGACGGAACCAAAAAGGACATTCCAGGATTACGGTTGTGAAAAGAGCAAGATACAAACCTGTGAGATCTAACTCGATATCGGGACGACCTTCCACGATCACTGACATTTTTAAGACCTTCACGTTGGGACCACCTTCATCAGCTAGAAAACAGAGAGTCAAAAATATCCTTATATCAGGATCAGAAAAATAACTACCCAATATTGAAAAATGTAATGATCACTTTCTCTTGGGATACCTGCTGCCCCCGCACCGGCGAGTAACATTTGCTTGTACCTAACCAAAGACTCGTCATCCGCGTCCAACGTTTGAATTTCTTGCAAAGTTTTCTGAGCGGGAGGCTTGTAACCCGGGGTTTCTTCTGGTTCTTCGTCTTCAATTGGGGTTGGAACTTCTTCTTCTTCAGCCATGGTAAGTTCAGTCGAGCTAATATATTTATATTTCCTGATAGACTTTCACAACCATTTACCTCCAGCTCTCTTCTCAGAATCTAGAAGAACCACCCCATGACGTCAGAGCTTTAGTACAACCAATCATTTGCGTTTTCATATCAAGCTCGACGAACAACCAATGAAAAGTCTTTTTCGATTGGGAGGCTATAATGTTCTTCTCGAGTGTCTTTGCACATCGTCCACGTTGCTTATGTAGTTACCAAAGGCTCCAGCCTGAAATGTTTTTACTAACTGAAGTCATTCTGACAAGCTTAGCATCTATAAAAGGAGACGGCAAGATTTAGGGATAATGAGCATGAAACATGATCCGATGGCCGACAAAATCTAACATGAGGTGATGAGATGTCACGAGGAAACTGCACGCTTTCCAACGGATATTTTCATGTCCCGAAATTCTAATAAGCCAAGAATGAACGTCAAGGAACTGTTAAATGCGAAATGAAGCAACTTCTGAACCACACTGATTTAATCGAGTAGAAATTGACTTCAATTCCGAGCCTCCTTCATAATTTTCATTCAGGGACTTTTGGCGGGGGGGGGGGGGGGGGGGGGGTTATTGTGAGACATCAGAAGAAACCGTCATAAGCGCGAAAAACATGGAGAACGGAAAGCATATTGAGATAAAAAATCATAGTGGGAAGAACCACAATGGACGTTCTGCGGAAGAGGTTGCACATGTTTTTAGCACAGGGTCTGACGGATTAAATGATATCCATATCGCTGTGGATTTAGACATTACTAAATAAATATGACCCAATATTACGTGACAAACCCTCATAAGAAATCCTCTCCTCATTTGTCTACTTTGAAAGACAAGGAAGTGGTCACTCAACTGAATGACGCACGATGATCAGCCAATTTATTGACCAAGAATTTGATTGTGCCGTTTTCTCTGTTTGATTAGCGATTCTTTCGAGAAAATTCTCGAGTGACACCAACTAGCAGCTCGAATTGCAATAAGGAAATCCTTCAAAACGGTTACTTAATGTCTGAGAGAACCCTAAGAGGAAGGGGAAGATGGGGGACTGTTAAATAGTGGATTGTTAAATCCGGGTGGTAAGAAAAATGTTGGTTGTAAAACAATGAAACAATTGATGTGCAGCCAGGGTAGAACTTTTACTCTTGTTTGGGAAACTCCTGTTAAAAAAAGCCTTGAATAAATGAAGAAGGAACCCTCTTGATGCAAAATACTAAACCAAACAATACTCTTTTATTTAATGAGGAATTTTTAATTGAAAGCTTTTTTTCACTTTTTTTCTGTTAAATTAAACCTTCACACCGATAATTGCCATAAATAAAATAAAACAATTTATAAGCCAGGTGGTGAGAGGTTTATTTTGAGTGTGAGTTGAAGAAACTTCCAAAAAAAAGATTTGAAAACCTATTATCTATTCGAAAATACACAAGAGTTTAAAACATATTACCTAACCAGAGGTCACAGAATATAATGCTGGAAAAGGGAAGTAAGTAAAAGTCTTTCACAGTGAGGTGGTTCAGAGATGATTATTCCTAAATTTTATGCTCTTAACTTATCTTAGTGCGACGAAAGCTTAATTAAATGGAGTCCTGAACCAATGAGTTCATCAAAAAGATGCAGCAGGAAAGTCTTCAACTAGGAAAATATTTTCTTGCAAATCACTGAGCAATATTAATTTCTTTTGTCGGACTAGGATAGTCTAGAACTCAAAAAACAGCTCCTAATAGTTTGGAGTTGAACTTTCAAAATGGTTGGCCACAGTTGTATTTTGTTTTTTTGGAAAAAGTTCATTACATTCTCTTACATTAAGAAATCATCTGCAGCTCAAATTTAAAAACCAGAAAAGACAATTTAGAGCTCATCTTTGGTTGCCTCTGTTCCATCAGTTTCTTCCTCAGCACCTTCAGACTCGTCACCTTCACCCTCAGGCTCTTCACCCTCCACACCCTCCCCTTCTTCTTCTGGGGCTGGTTCTTCACCTTCTGTGGGTTCTTGGTTTACTTTTCCATCAGATTCAAGAAACTTGACAAAATCCTCAAGAGTTCTGCCACCCTTGTAATCTACAATCTGATACAGAAAAAAAAGAAGCATATTCATAACATAGGAGACTCTAAGGGGAATGACTGCATCTCACAAAATAAGGCTCAGATCAATTTCAGCTACAATTTCCCAAACATAAATTAGAAAAAGATCAAATTCAGTCTTTTGGCACTTGTAAAAGATGATCTTTACAATCAAAAGGAAATTAGACAGCTCCCCAATCTTAAACACTATTCTCCAGATGGTCATAAGCATCTCTGCTTGTTTGGAATGACGACAAGGCATTGCTGTTACACTTAGTTAACAAACTTCCCAGAGACAATTCATTACAAAGCAAAACTATATTGATAATTATAGCAAGTAAATACAAATTTGTTTTCAGAATGTTTCCTACCTCATCACTATCTTTAGGGAAGTATTTAAGAGTAGGAAAGCTTTGAATCTTAACACTCTCTACTTCATTGGCTGTGGAGTCCATCTTGGCAATGACAATATCATCACGGTCTTTAAACTTCTCTCCAAGTTCATCCCAGATTGGAGCTAATTTCTTACAATGACCACACCATGGGGCATCTGTTATGGCACAGAAAAAACAAATAATGTTAATAGCGGAGCTTGCAGAGTGTAGCCCCATAATTATACAAAATAGTAGTAACCCATCAAGCTGAAAAAATTTGGATGTACAACTGTACAACCATACAAGGTGCTACTTCTTGGTCAACTGTACCACGGGTACACCAATGCCACATCTTTGTTCAGTAGTCTAGTGGTCTCCAAGTTAGACAACCCGGGTTCTGGTCCTGGCCAGGGCAAGGCATTGTGCCCTTGAGACGTGGGGAAAAAAAATGTGAGCTCTGCTTTTAGGCTTGGCTAAATCTATACATTAGCCTTTACCGACTCTTAGCAGGATTAATGTAACACAATAGCAGGTGGAGCTAAAAAAATCAATGACACAAAATAAGGCTTAGAGCCTGGTTTGACTAACACAAGGCAGATAAGTTGCCCATTTACAAGATTAGTATAACCCTTTAATTCCCAGAAATTATTAACATATTACTTATCCCTATGATATCCATTTTATCATTCACAGGGCGTGAAATTGCACCTAATACAGGCGCCAATGTGCCTAAATTTTTCACTTTGGTGACCAAATCCTGAAAGTTAGTCGCCAAATTGGCAACCAGAACATTTCATCATAACCTTACCAAGAGATATAGTGAATTAAAAAGATTTGCAAAGATAAATCTGCGGCAAACTTCCTCGTTAAGTTTGTTTCCAAAACGTAGCACATGCATCTCGAGCAATAACTAGATGCCATCTTGGATTTAGACAAGCCTGAACGTTGTATATCATCCATCCTAGTGTCTACTGTGTAGCACGCTAAAGATCTTTTCCCTAACTTAATTTTGGAGGGTCTATCTAGAATGTTGACAGCGTAAAGAAAGATTTTGTTTGTCTTTGAAAATGGCGACCAACTTTTTTTGAATTGGCTACCACTTTGAAGAATTTAGGAGCCAGGTGGCTATCAGAAAAAAAAAAATTAATTTCACGCCCTGATTCAGCAAACAAATAATGAATATAGCTCAAAATAATCAGGTATAATTTATTATCTTGATCCAACACCAAATCCTCGCAACTTGTTGATATGGAAATGTGTTGCAGCCAGAGTAGGTAACTGACAATAGATCTAGCAGGAAAGGTTTAAGAACCCAACTTGGTACATTAAGATCATAAATCCAGTCTTTTCACTGCTTGGGCACCTTATCAAGCTGGCATGACTTCCAACAGAGACCGTAGTCTTACATGCAAACTGAACACAAGGGCACTTTTAACAAAATCCTAGGAATAACATAAAAAGAACATCACTTACAGAATTCTACTAGAACAGCCTTGGTTTTGTCCTTGACTACTTCATCAAAGTTCTTTCCAACCAGGACCTTGACAGGTTTGGCATCCCAATCCTCTGGGATTTCTTGACTGAGTAAATGAGGCTGAAAATTAAATGCAAACAGAATAAGAAAACTCTGTCACCAGACAAAGACAGAGGTGGTAGTTGTTACATTACCATCAACATCAAATCCCAACAACCAAAAGTGGGAGGGTGAAAAATCATTCTTTCTAAGAGCACTTCCCCCTTACTTCTTCAATGCTTCACCCTGCGAAAGATAGCTTAAATTGACCCCACAATTTCGCTACACTTTCAAACAAAAGGCAAGGGGAATAAAGACACTAAAATCATTCTATCACAACTGTTACAGTCTACAATAGCCACTTGTTATCAATTCCATGAGTATAAGTAGCCTGCATAGCTCAAAAATGAGCAGTTGCAAAGTAAGGAAACAAGAAAGGAAACATGAGCCTGCCTTGTTGACAAGTTTTCAACAACTAATAGAGTTGAACTAACACAATTAGATTATTAGGACTTGATTTCTATGCATAACATTCAATTTGAGCTTTGCCCTCAGCAACTATCACAAGACAGTAATCTCAAACCCATGATGTAATTGTTTATATCTCTCCAGATTCTCAGATCCAGTGAACCATAACTTTCAGATCTTGGAAGATTGAAGGATAATTAATCAAGCCAGTAGATTTATGAACATTAACATCACTTACAGCTTAGAAAGAAATTATTACCTTGAGTGATCCATCAAGAACTGAGGAGACAAAAGCCTTGACATTCTCAGTGGTAACTTCAGTGGTTTCGGCCTTGTATTTTGTCATGTCATCTTCTGCCAAGTTGATCAGGCGGACGGTTGGGATTTCCTTAGTATCAATTCCAAAGAATTCTGAGATACGGCTGTTGTCTTCAATATTAGTGTCAACAAGCACAAAGAGAACTTGTCCTTTGAATTCCTTAGCTGCGGCTGAAAATGCTTCTTGGATGGCCTGGAAATCTTCAGCCTCTTTGCTTGCAAAGAGCAGAACATGCTTCTTAATATCTCCTCCAAAGATCTTTGGTGCATTCTAGAAGAAGATAAAATTGTGTTAGTTTTACTTTCATAGCCATAACACTAAGGGTGCCTCGTAATAGTTGGGAATG